TGCTTGGCAACTGATTCATATTTATGACGGTCACAGTGTCCCAGGGTCATGTGAAGTGACCAAAACCTGCTGCAACCACCCAGCAGACGGGGGGGGGGAATAAAAACCAAACACCCCCCACCCCACCCCCGCTGCCAATCCTCAACAGAAATGCTCACAACAATGAAAACCTCGGACAGGAGGAAGAGCGCCGCCGGGTGGGCAGGCAGGTGTCTTGCTTGGCTGTGGCTTGGGGGGCACTTTTTTCAGTGCCATTGTATAACTTTGAACAGTCACTAAGCGAACTGTTGTAAGTCGAGGACTACCTGTACTTCATCAGTTTTTTTCTTTTTCTTTTTTTTGGTCACGTTTTTGACACCTTGCTAGGCGACTGGTGGTACTCGGATATTGCCATATCCTAAAAATGGTACCATGGGTGAAAAGGTTGAAAAGCCCTGTCCTATAGAACCTGTTGACGAGTCTGTCGGCTTTCACATTGCTAGCCTTCACCCAAGTGGCTTCAGACAGCGAATATCCCTTCCGTTGCACTAAGTACTGCAGTTTCCCTTTAAAAATTCTAGAATCAAGAATACGCTTTACTTCATGGCGGGTCTGACCCGCCACCACGAGGGGTCCAGGTTGCCTTCTTAGGGGGAGGTCTTAAAGTGGAACCTCGAAAAGTTTTCGGCAAGCTGCAATGGAAGACAGGGTGAACTTTCCCTAAAAGTCACTTGTTTCAAGGACAATTTGTGGGGAGTTTTCAGTTGACACACGGTTACTAATCCCCACTGATAGCCAGGTCTGCAGCAGCTGCCACCCAATCTTCTGCCATAGAGATCCCACGCGGTTTCCCGCAAAGCTCAGATTCTGCCTAATTTTTTTTTTTTTACAGAGACGTTCATAGGAGGCAAAAATTGATTCTTTAATATTTTTCTGCCATAATACCGTTAAATGGAGGGTGGGGGGAAGGAATCTAATGCGGCGTAGAATGGAAAATGATTGCCTTTTTTGTAATCCATCCGCTAATCGGCCCGTCTTATTACCTCGTTTGAGGTTACCATTTAATTTTAAACCAGCACAATTCATTAACGCATGTTGATTCTACCTTGTGTGTTTGCAGCGATTTCTCTGCCTTAATCTGCATTGCTTGATGCTTCACTGCATGTTTTTTTTGTGTGTCTTTTTTTTTAAAAAAATAACAACTCCACAATCAAGAACCTAAGGGCTAATCCGAAAGTGAATTTCATCCAGAATCAACAGGTAAAACGGGATCGTAAATTATAAGCCAAGCCCAAAAAAAAAAAAAAAAAAAGGAGACCATGGGAAATGTTTAGCTGACTTTCTGCTTTGGTTCAGATGCTCGCTTGCAAATGATTGACAATTGCACCAATCACGGCTGCCAGCATTTTTACTAAAAAAAATCAATTCCATGCCTGTAATATATGTGCAAGATGGATGTTAATCAGCCAGGGTATTTTCATTATTATGGATGTCGATGTATTAAAATACTGTGAAACTATGCTTCTTATTGGTGGATACTGGGGGGGTATAGAGTAGATCAGCGAGGCCGAAGATTTAACTGGCGTTGGCGTTCTCTCAGTTGAAACATGGGTCTTCTTCAAAAGCAGCATGGCTGTCCTCCAGATCAGAGGTTAATTGAAAGTAAACCATTGCAGATAAACTGTTTTGATAACAGAAACTGTAGCTGAGAAACCAACTAAATGTAGTAAAAGACATTCCACACTGAGGTCTATCATCTGACTATATCATCTGTCATGTACGCCTGTCTGTCTGTCTGTCTGTCTGTCTGTCTGTCTATCTATCTATCTATCTATCTATCTATCTATCTATCTATCTACCCTATCTGTCATCTATCTATCTGTCTATCATGTCTGTCATCTGTCTCCATCCATCCATCCATCCATCCATCCAATTTGTATACCACCTTTTTATTATTTTATAAGTAACTGGGATGGTAGCAAACAAACACCATACTTCTTTCTCCTCCTCTTTTCCTCCCAACAACAACCTTGTGAAGTGGGTTGGGCTGAGAGAAAGTAACTGGCCCAAAGTCACCCAGTTGGCTTTCAGGCTTAAAGTGGGACTAGAACTCACAGTCTCCTGATGATTGCCCTAAAATTACCCAGCCAGTTTTTCATGCCTAAGGCGGGACCATCTCCTGGTTTTTAAGCCAGCGCCTTAACCGCTACACCAAACTGGCTCTCAAAAACTACATTTAAGTTTGTAAGCTTGTACTAACTTTCACGAATTCCACTTAAAGCAGCCACCTAATGCACAAACACCAGCAGGAGCGAGTTAGAGATTTTCCTCTTGTTTGGATTAGAGCAGTGTTTCTCAGATTTTGCAATTTAGAGACGTGTGGACTTCAACTCCCAGAATTCTCTAGCCAGCATGAGGAAATTGAAGTCCCTGTATCTTAAAGTTGCCAAGTTTGAGAAATATTGCCTTAGAACAGGGGTCTTCAAACTTGGCAACTTTTAAGACTTGTGGACTTCAACTCCCAGAATTCTTTAGCCAGCAAAGCTGGGCGTTGAAGTCCACAAAAGTCTTAATGTTGCCAAGGTTGGGGACCCCTGCCATAGAAATTTGCCTTAATTCCATTACAATCTGTTACTGATTCCGGCATTGGTTTCAACACACCACCTTAGATAAAGCCTTACAAGGGAGAATATTTCTCCTAAGATAGTGTTTATTATCTGTAATGTTTCCGCCTGTATTATAATGAGCTGCAATTTTAAAGTATTATTTGAGATCCGTTTGGGAAGCTATTGCAAGCCCTTCAAAAATGAGCAGTTAAAAATCCCCACTGTGAGCTGCCAGATAACTCGGTGTGAACTAAAAAAGGATCCGTCTTACGGAATTAATAATAATAATGATGATGATAAAGTTGGAAGGGACCTTGGAGGTCATCTAGTCCAACCCCCTGCTCAGGCAGGTAACCCTATACCATTTCGGACAAATGGCTGTCCAGTCTCTTCTTAAAAACGTCCAGTGTTGGAGCATTCACCACTTCTGGAGGCAGGATAGATAGATAGATGATAGATAGATAGATAGATAGATAGATAGATAGATAGATAGATAGATAGATAGATAGATAGATAGATAGATAGATAGATAGATAGAAGGATGGATGGATGGATGGATGGATGGATGGATGGATGGATAATAATAATAATAATAATTATTAATAATAATAATAATAATAATAATAATAATAATAATAAAGTTGGAAGTACCTCGGAGGTCATCTAGTCCAACCTCCTGCTCAGGCAGGAAACCCTATACCATTTCGGGCAAATGGCTGTCCAGTTTCTTCTTAAAAACTTCCAGTGTTGGAGCATTCACCGCTTCTGGAGGCAGATTGTTCCACTGGTTGATTGTTCTAACTGTCAGGAAGTTTCTCCTTAGATCTAGGTTGCTTCTCTCTTTGGTTAGTTTCCATCTGTTGCTTCTTGTCCTGCCTTCAGGCGCTTTGGAGAATAGCTTGACTCCCTCTTCTTTGGGGCAGCCCCTGAGATATTGGAAGACTGCTATCATGTCCCCCCTCATCCTTCTTTTCATTAAACTAGACATACCCAATTCCTGCAACCGTTCCTTATATGTTTTAGCCTCCACTCCCCTAATCATCTTTGTTGCTCTTCTCTGTACTCTTTCTAGAGTCTCAATTAAATCACACCGGTTGTTACGACCGGAGCACCCAGCTCAATTTTAACTATTTAATTAACAAATCCTCTACAAAGAGTTTTTTAGAGGCTGAGGCCAAGACAGCAAGTGGGGGGGGGGGAGGAGGAACGTAGAAGTGGTTCACCGTTTGACGGAACTGGAGGATCGGTAAATGAAACATTCAATTAAGTTATGAATTTGAGTTCAAGCTCTTTTTATAATGCATCGTTTCTGTTTATAGATAAAGGAGAGTCTTCCAGCAAGCAGTTCCTTTCTCAAGGGAGAAGATTATTAATCTGTCGTTCTGTGGAGAATTCTCAGGCAGAGAATCCCCCGTCTGTTTGAAATTTGTATTTGCAAATAAAGTCCTACATGAAAGTTTCCTCCGTTAATGTGATTGTCAGGAAAACTGGGCGTGAAAGGTGATGGAACAGGGACAGCTTCATAACAGGATGTTCACAGTGCCGCAGTTTGCGCAATTAGATACAGGTAGTCCTCAACCTATGACCACGATTGAGTCTTGACATTTCCACTGCTAAGGAAGACAGTTGTTAAAAGTGGTCGTAAGTCCCCTTTTTTTCAGTGCTGTTGTAACTTTGAACTGTCACTAAATGAATGGTTTTAATTTGAAGATGATCTGCGCTCAAAACTTTCTCTCAATCTTGTAGAGATTTTAAGTGGCTTGCTCCAATATGGGCATCCTTTAAAATGGGACAAGCTTTTTTTTAACTGGCCTGCTACAAAGAAAATTGAATCGCGGACCAAAAACCATTGATGATGTTACCTAGTTGGGTAATGAAACATCTTCAAGAAAACCACCAAGCTCAGAGAGCAACCAGGACCCCACAAAGGCAATTGTTCCCTAGCACTGACACATATATTTTTTTTAAAAATCACAAATTAAAACTGCTTTTTGAAGACACAGTAGTAGATCCCAAAGGTGCTTTTTTCAAGAGACGACTGGACTTTTTTGTTTTTCTTTGAAGACGTTTCGCTTCTCATCCAAGAAGCTCCTTCAGCTCTTGACTGGATGGTGGGGAGTAGAAGGATTTATCCTCCTTGCAGACAGCTGGTTATTTGCAATCTTTTAGAGAGTAGTTGAGGCCACTTGGAACTTTATATGTGTCCCCACTATGTTTTCTGCTCTATGCAGCCAAGAAGGCTCCACATACATTTGCACCACTCAGATGACCTTGGGGACACAGGTAAATCTGGTGGCCTCAACGACTCTAAAAGAACGCAAATGACCAGCTGTCTGCAAGGAGTATAAATCCTTCCACTCTCCATCCTTCAGTCAGAGCTAAAGAAGCTTCTTGGATGAGAAGTGAAATGTCTTCAAAGAAAAACAAGAAAGTCCAGCATTCACAACTTCTGGAGGCAAGTCGTTCCACTGATTAATTGTTCTCACTGTCAGGAAATGTCTCCTTAGTTCTAGGTTGCTTCTCTCCTTGGTTAGTTTCCATCCGTTGCTTCTTGTCCTGCTTTCAAGTGCTTTGGAGAATAGCTTGACCCCCTCTTCATTGTGGCAGCCCCTCAAATATTGGAGCACTGCTATCATGTTACCCCTGGTCCTTTTCATTAAAGAAATACAAGGCAGCAACAAATGGTCACCGCTGCTCAAAACAAAACAGTAATTTATTTACTTTTCAACTTGTGATAAACCTGGGAATTTCAACAGATCGATTACGTGTCAAGTCATTTTCGACTCCTAGCAACCACAGCGATAGATTTTTCTCCAGGACAAACTGCCTCTAACCCGGTAGATGTCTATCCTGAATCTAAATCCGATCGTTTTTAATGCCCCTGGTAAATTCTAGGAAAGGAAAGAAAGAATCACTCTGTTGTGTCACGGAGGAGGCTTTAAGTCTAAAGTAGAAAAGAATCTTGAGACTGGATCTGGCCAAGAGCCATTTAAGTCAATATTGTGTGTCACACAGTGGCCAATCAGATAAATCCTGGAAGCTAAGCAGCATTGATTGAACTGTGACAGCTTCTTATCCGTGTAATTCGATGGCCACTGAATCAAAGGCGATTCTGCCTCTCGTGATAAGTCTCTAACAAGCTAAAAGGCACTGATAGTGTAGTATTCCCTCAACCAGCAGATGTTCTATTCACCTAATAGTTTGGGATATCCTTTTTGTAAAAGCAACTTTTTCCAAGGCTATATCTTTTTTGGACCCAAATTCAAAGTGGGTCTCTCGATGGATGGGTGTATATAAAGCTATCACTAAGGATTTCAGGTTCAAAATTTGTATTACTTTATTATTGAAGCATAAACTACAAAACTATAAAGAAAAATGGTAAATAAAGGTAAAATAGGGGAGGAAAAGGGGAAAAGAGAAAAGTGTAGGTAGAGGGGGGGGGAAGGGGGGGAAAAAGCATTGACTTCTGACTCCTTTTGGTGCAGTAGAATAAGGCAATGAAACCTCAAATTTTTATTTTTGTATAATAATATATACCAGCCATTTCTATGACACCAAACCTATCGAATCAGCAAAACCCCAAATCAAAGATTCATAAGGATTTCAGATATGGAGTTTCATTTTTGCAGCAGTCACATATTGGCTGACTTTAGTTAAAGTGTAATTCCAAATTCGCTAGATAGATAGATAGATAGATAGATAGATAGATAGATAGATATAGAGATATAAATACAAAGATAGATAAGATAGATAGATAGATAGATAGATGATAGAGATATAAATACAAAGATAGAGAGAGAGAGAGAGAGAGAGAACATATAAACCTCTGGATGATTTTCCTGTCCTAAATTATTCATTCAATCCATCAATTTAGGCACCATAAACTTCCGGATGCTTTTCTTCTGCCCTAAATCATTCATTCATTCATTCATTCATTCATTCTAGGCACCACTCGACTCTAGGTGGTTCACAATTAAATTAGATAGAAGGTATGAAAAGGGATATAACGAAAAATAAAGAAATAAAGAACAGGATGAAATAAAATAAATATCAGCTGCAACTTCGGTCTTGTATTTATTTTAGAAATAAACTAAACTACAAGACCGAAGTTGCAGCCGATATTTATTTTATTTCATCTTGTTCTTTATTTCTTTACTTCTCATTATATCCTTTTTTCATACCTTCCATCCAAGGGGCTGCTAAAGTCTTTTTTCAATGCCTTGGTCACGTCGAGCGGTCACTAAACGAGTCGAGGACCATCTGTCGTCGGAAGCTTCCAGACAAACTCCAGGAAGCAGAAATGCCCTGACATCTTCCCTGAAAAGGTTTAGCTCCCAAACATCTAGGTAAGGCTACTCAGATAATTCTGGCTCTGCAAACACGGGTACTCCAGAAAGAAGGGCCGCAAAAACACCAAAAAACAAAAAAATAAAACACAGAGCGGCCCATTCACACGACCTTCTTCGAACCCGTGTTCAAACCACTCAGCCGCAGCAAGGAATCGATGCCCGAGCGATCGATGNGTCCAGTCTCTTCTTAAAAACTTCCAGTGTTGGAGCATTCACCGCTTCTGGAGGCAGGTTGTTCCACTGGTTAATTGTTCTAACTGTCAGGAAGTTTCTCCTTAGTTCTAGGTTGCTTCTCTCCTTGATTAGTTTCCACCCATTGCTTCTTGTCCTGCCTTCAGGCGCCTTGGAAAATAGCTTGACTCCCTCTTCTTTGGGGCAGCCCCTGAGATATTGGAACACTGCTATCATGTCCCCCCTCGTCCTTCTCTTCATTAAACTAGACATACCCAATTCCAGCAACTGTTTCTTATATGCTTTAGCCTCCAGTCCCCTAATCATCTTTGTTGCTCTTCTCTGTACTCTTTCTAGAGTCTCAACATCTTTTTTACATCGCGGTGACCAAAACTGGACGCAGTATTCCAAGTGTGGTCTTACCAAGGCATTGTAAAGTGGTATTAACACTTCACGTGATCTTGATTCTATCCCTCTGTTAATGCAGCCTAGGACTGTGTTGATTATCTCTTTTGCATGGTCTACAGATGTTAATGTTGACTGTCTCTTTTGCATAATCTATAGATGTTCTTAATGTTGATTGTCTCTTTTGCATGGTCTATAGATGTTGTTAATGTCTATGTTCAAATCACCAGGACCAGATGGATTACATCCCAGGGTACTGAAGGAGCTGGCAGACTTGATCTCGGAACCCCTGAATCATGAGGGGATTCCTTGGTGTGTCTGAGCTTGGCTGTTTCCTTGCAGAAGTTTCCTTACCCAAACTAGGTAACGTCATCGGTCTACTAGAAGTCTAGTGGCACTGATGATGTTATATTCCATACATCACATTGCTCAGTTGGTGTCTGGATGGTTTATTCTTGGGATGGGCCAGCTTCTGCCATAGTGTATTCTTGGGTTTGAAGTGTGCACATACATTGTGTGGGTTGAAAATCCTCCTGAGCTTTTCAGATATTCCTGCAACGTATGGAATGACAACATTGCTTTGTTTATTGTTGTCTTCTACGTCTGTTATGGACAAGCTCCTGCTGTGTCTTTTTGGGGGATTTGATGAAGGCCCAGTTGGGATAGCCACAAGTTCTGAGGGGATGGGGTGGGATGGGATGGGATAGGATTTGGAGGTCATCTAGTCCAACCCTCTGCTCAGGCAGGAGACACGATACCATTTCAGACAAATGGCTGTCCAGTCTCTTCTTAAAAACGTCCAGTGTTGGAGCATTTACAGCTTCTGGAGGCAGGTTGTTCCATTGGTTAATTGCTCTAACTGTCAGGAAATTCCTCCTTAGTTCCAGGTTGCTTCCCTCCTTGATCAGTTTCCATCCGTTGCTTCTTGTCCTGCCTTCAGGCGCTTTGGAGAATAGCTTGACTCCCTCTTCTTTGGGGCAGCCCTTGAGTTATTGGAAGGCTGCTATCATGTCTCCCCTCGTCCTCTTCATTAGACACTAGTCCTCAACTTATGAGTGCAATGGATCCTGCCCATCACGGTCGTAAGTTGTGACCGTCTTTTTTGCAGCCTTTTGCTGGGATCATTAAGCAGCTGCCCTAGTCATAAAGCAGGCACCCCTGCAATCATTAAGCAAATGCCACAGTCATTTAGTGAACCAATGGCTCGCTATGGATGTGGTTTTGCCCAAAACTGGAATGTTGTATTTTGACAAAACCGTTGTAAAATGTGATCAAGTGACCACAGGTCAGATACTGCCAATGGACGTGAAGGTGGCCCAGATGAGTGTGGCGCCTCAATTGTGTTCATGTAGCCACAGGGGAGAGGCCCAACGGTCAGAACTTTGAACCCGGATCCTAAGTAGTCCCCAAGTAGATCCATTGTAACTTTGAATGGTTGCTAAGCAACCGGTCACAAATCAAAGGCTACCTGTACGTCATCCCCAGAGGCTGTGGAGATTGTGGGCCGTGGCAGAACATAGGGTTGAGTTATTAT